TTTGTACTCGAATTTGAGGGACTTTGATTTTAGTTAGGGTTCAAGGCTGTAAGCTGGCTTATTTATAACAGAAAAACAACGAAAACAGCTAAAATATCCATAACCAGGGGAATAATAAATGATGTAATAGCCTTTCCATAGAATACCACGTAGTGATTAAAATGTAGTTGATCTATAGTCATTGATACAGACATTTCTCCAAGATCTGTTGTTCAAGTGATAAACTGGAAGCCACAAAACATACATATAGTTTTATATCATCATGTTAACCCCTCCCCCAATACAGCTATACCTTTGATTGAGAGGCAGTCTCAGTGATGAGATGATTTTTAAGTCCCTTCCAGTCCTGAATTCTGTAATCCTAAGAAATCAAAGTTTATTGTTCACTTAAAAATATATACTGCTTTGAACCATGAAAGAAAACTGTAAAACTTTATGGAGAGACATAGAAGAAGATTTGGATGAATGGAGGCACATGCCAGTTCCCTGAATTGATTGATATTGCAAAGATATAACTTTCCTCAGAATTAATCTAAGTTTGAAAACAGAGGCAACAACAACAAAAAATCAAACTCCAAATGCATATTTGGTGGGGAGGACTTAAGAAATAATTCTAAAGTTCTTCATGGAGGTCAAATGTGTAAGAAGAGCCAGAAAATATTTGAAAATAAAAGCAATAGCATAAAGTCAGAATAATTAGAATCATGTACTCGTGCCAGAACAGATAAGTGAATAAAAGAGACAGTCCAGAAACAGATGTGGGTACTCATGATAATTTAGTATTTAGTATATAACAAAAGTGACACTTTGAGACAGGACAGTTTGGGTTATTCAATAAATTGCTGGGACAGCAGTTACCTGGGTGGCCCTCCCCATGGGATGGGCACATGCAGGTGTGTTTGTAAAAGTCCCGTTGGCCTAACCATTGAGAAAATATTTTGTTATATTTTTCTGTCCTCCCTTCCACTGAAATTAATTCCTGGCAGATTCAAGATTTAAGGAAGAACAAAGTCATTGACTAGTAGAAAAAAAATTGGTAGATATGTAATTTTGGGATTGAGACTTAATGTAAATATGATGTCAAAGGCAGAAACCACAATAAAAAGTTGGACAGATTTGTCTATATCGTTTTTAATATTTAAAAAAATGTTTAAATTATGCCTACATTTATACATGAATCAACAAAGTTGAAAGACACACATCAAGCTACATAAATAATAGGCAATTATTAAATATATTAAACATTTTACAGGTCAATATAATGAAAATGAATATTTTACTGGAAAATGGGTGAAAGGCACGAACAGGCAATTTGCTAATGAAGAAATCCAACATATAAGCATGAAAAAGTATTTACATCATTAAGAATTAAAGGAATGCACATTAAATGATAGTAAGAAACATTTAATCCTACCAAATTATTAAATATTTGCAGTAATTTTAATCTTGCATTTCAAGAGAGTTACATATCAAAAAGTGAACCATGGTTATCTTTGGGTAGTGGGATTAAGAGCAGTTTTCTCTTTTTTTGCTTTGCTTTTCTGTGGTATTAATATTATACTTGTGCAATAAAGAAAAGTGCTCAGGTGGAATCTCTGGAGAGCTCATCTCTGGACAGTGAGCAAGACCAAGTCCAAGCTGTGACCTTCCCCTGGGCCCAGCCTGGAGTTAGATGAACCATACTGAATCATCTTGGTGGTCTCCAAGTGACCCCGGGGAACAGGGTCTGGGTGGCTGCTGTTTAGACAAGGGAGATGAGATGGAGGCAGGAAGACCAGCCAGCAAGCTAGTGCTGACTGGTGCAATAACAATCCAGGTGGTGATTTATCAATCATGTGATTTATAAACCATCATGTATATGATGGAACTTGATGGGACCTCTCTCTACAAGAAAAAACCACCTTAAATGGCATCTCTGTTCATGTTACATGGGAAGAAGGGCTGGGATGACAAAAGAAGAAAGTAAAGGAAGTCAAACATGTGGATGAAGCAAATCCTGAGCCAATTTTTGTGAGAGTAGAATATGGAAATGAAGGTGCTGCAATCATGTATGTCCGGGTGATTTCAGATCTAGAACCAGTCATTTCCAACATTTGGAATACTCATGCCTGACATCTTTTCAGCAAAAATGAAAGGCCACGCCAGTCACAGGGCCGCCCGGCCATTGCAGCCTGCCAGGTATGCGACCCGCATCCACTCCCGGGGCGTGTCCCCTGGCGCTCTGCTTGGACTGAGAGCAGCAGGGCTGCCCTTCCTGCTGCGCCCCGTCCACACCTGGTTCCAAAGGTCATGCCCCACAAGTCTTCAGAGTTGGTCTCTCCTTTCATTCAGAGTTCGGCCCCTAGAACTTCCAAAGAGAGGTGTACATGAAAGTCTTTCTATATCAAAGCAGCTTCTGCCTCTGGGGAAATTGGAGTTGGCCTTGGATTGGGTTCCCTGGAAACAGCCTCTGGGGTAAGTCCTCGCTGGAGGGTGGTTGGGGCCGGGGGCGTGGTCCTCAGGGATAACACCTACAAGGGAGTAAAGGAAAGAGGCCTGGGCGGAGGCAGAAGGGGATTTCCCAGCCGATTCCCAGACAGCTCTGGAACGGGATGGCCTAGTAGCTTGGTCCTCAGTCGAAGTACAGTGGCCAGGCCTTTGTACCTCCCCAGGTTAACCGGTCATTGGACACATGCTGTCCCTGGCGAGAAGGCGTATTTCTGGACGAGGCAGGTGTTTCAGCCAGGGGAAATCCGCAGGGAGGAAGGCAGCTGAATGCCCCGGCTGACTGCAGAAGGAGGGAAGTAGGCCTGCTGAAATGCTTTGTCGCGTGGAGCCAGGAGACCGGACAGAGGGTCATGTACCACGGAAGGATTACAGACCATATACAGGCCATGCTGAGAGGAGAACCAGCATCACCAAGGAGTTCAGAGGTGGCTCTCCTCTGCAGGCCAGAAATCATGGTAGGGGAGCAATCATAAGGCTGGGTGGGCTTGATAATATCCAGAGTCACAGAAGTAATAGAAGCCAGGTGGTGGCTATAACTCCCAGTCGTCTGGAGGCTGGAAGCTTTAGTCATTACTATAACAGCTGGCAGTCAGAGGGCAGCCTAGGAGGCTTGATCTTGCAGGGGCTTGTGAAGATATTTAATAGTACAAGGTGTCCCTAGGGGAAAAAAAGATGGGTAGTCAACAGGATGCTGCAACTAGAAGAAGGAAGAAATGGAGGAATAGGAGTCTAAGGGCAGTTGCCTCAATAAAAGTCCCCAGGTCTGAGTCAATTTCCAGACCCAGACCACAGAGAGCCAGCCCAGAGATTAAAAGGTAGCTGGGGTCCTTAGAAAGAAGGACCCAGTAAGTGAAACAAGTGTCTACTGTGATGATTATTCTATGACCTATGATCATTTTCTCAGCTAACTCTATGCTGTAGAAAGAGAAATACCCAGACATTGCACAGGATCTGAAAGGATCTTGTTACCCAGAAATCCAAAGTAATGTCATGGGCCCCCTGTGAGAGAGGGCACTTATGGAGGTCAGGTAATAATCAGAGTTCTGGACAACTGCCAGCTTACAATGGGTCCATGGGTCTACAGACCCATCCAGTGATCATTTCCCCAGTCCCTGAGAATATATATTGGGTAGCTGAAGCAAGCTCTGTACCAAGTGAAAGCCTCTGAAACTGTCCCTTCCCTATCAACTGGAGATAATAAATCAAAACCAGTATTTCATCCAAGGGAATTAAGGGTGAAGATGGTGAAGATTAATGTCACTACTAGAGACTTAAAGGATGCAGGAGTGGTCATCCTGCCACATCTCCATTTAATTTGCCAGTCTGGCCCCTTCAGAAATCAGGGGAATGTTTGACAGACCACTGCAGACCAGACCTGAGCACATAGTAGCTTTGATCACGACCATTGTGCCAGCTCTGTGATCTGTCATAATACAGTCCATGAGGATCTGGACCACCTGGACTTCCTACAGAACACCACATCCATCTACATTGATGCCACCATGCTAAGCGGGTAGGATTAGCAAGAGGTGTCTAGTGTACAGGAAACCTTGGTAAGACACATGTACCATGCACTTCAGAGGGTGGGAGATAAAGTCATGAAGATTCAGGGACCTGCCACTTCAGTGTTCAGGAAACTAGTGGTCAGGGATGTACCAGGACAGTCCCTTCAAAGCAAAAGGCAAATGATAAAAACACAGATAAGCAAGATAAAAGAAAAAATTACTTATAAACCTTTTAACAGCGATACCTAGAATTGTTCATAGTGTTTATATCCTTTAAGATTTTTTTCGTTGCACATAGGATAGAAATACAACTAATATGGAATCACATCACTATTTTATATCCTCTTAATTACTTGTTTATTTGCTTATGTCTCTCTGTCCTCACTGTGAAATTAGCTCTGTGAAAGTCTGGCCTTCGTCTTGTTCACTGCCGTATCCCTGGCACTTCCAATGCAGCTGGCGTTCCATAAATATTTTTTGGTGGAATGAATGAAGCATACTATATACAATGTTTTTTGGCTCGCTATTTTCAACTAACTTCCAGATGCTTCAGGTTATACTTATCTTTCTGAAAATGTACTCTCCAAAAATCATGTGACCGCAGACAGTTCTCACACTCCAGAGACTGCTATCGGTGCAACTTCAGAACGAAGAAACCGTAGTCTTTTGCAAGCCGAGTCTTCTTTCTTTTTGGCTAGCACTGCCTTAGAATCTACAGCGGGTACAACCTTGCCTGGATCATTCTTTCCACCACCCAGCTCAGCTAAGTCAGGTTCCAAGGACACCACAACTGAAGCTGTTCCCAGGCAAGCAGCCCAGTCCACAGCCACGTCCCTCTTCCGGCCACGCGGTGGCAGTAGAGCGCCGCTCTGGGCCTCTGGACCCGCGGGGAGGATGACTCCGGGCTGGGACATTGACTGCCCGGAGTGGGCGGAGCAAAAGGAGCCCAGGTCCGAGCCCAGGGCAGGAAGTGAGGAGGCGGGGCTTCTGGGTGGGGGGTGGGGGCGCGCTTGCGCACGGGTGCAGCTGAGGTCTTCACTCGCCACTGTTGGGGTCTGCCCTCGTGGGGACGCCTTTGCTCTACCTTTATGAGTCGGCCGGGCCCAGGGTTGGGAAGTTCGAGGGGCGCTGGGGTGAGGAGCGGAGCCCGTGGGGACCCGGCGGGGTTGGGGTGGCGAGGACGGGTGGGGGCGGGGAGGAACGCGGGGCGCCCGCGCGGGAATGCGGACAGCCGGGGCGTGGGGTCGGGGGAGACCGGGGAGTGGACAAGGAACCGTGGGAAGAAAGCGTCCTTCTTCCCTCTGTCTCTTGGTGTGGAATGCAGCACCCAGGGTGCTGGAGTTGAAGTTGGCCCGCGGCCGTGCCTTCCGGGAAGACGCCGCCGGCCCCAGCCCTTCCTTCCGCGGGGGCCGTTTCCGTGGTTAGCGCCGCACTGCGCGCCCCGCACCCGCACCCGCACCCGCACCCGCACCGGGGTCTGGGAGTCGGGCCCCGGGCCCCTCCCCGCAAGTAGAGAAGTCCGTGTTCCTGCCCAGACCCGCGGTGACAGGTGGAAAACTTCCTACCCGAACAGTTCTAAATGAGCCTGTCTGCAGCGACCACTTTTTTTTTTTTTTTTACTGTTTAAATAATGTCACTTGCCTGTGTAAAACGGAGCAACAGTTTTATTGTGCCGCGCGGTGCTCAGCGAGACCCGTGGCGGGAGAGGGGGGATGAGGGCCCCTATGGGATTCGGGGCTTGGTCCACCCACGGCGGAGGCCGCCCACTGCCGCCCGCCCCCCAAAGGATTTAAGTTCGCAGCCGCCGCCCCACCGGTGACGGGGTGCAGCCTGACATTTGGAAGCTTAAGAACCAAGTCTATTGCCTTCCAATTTATTTTTTTAAGCCTTCCATCATGTGTGTACTTTGCTTGAATGATTATTTTAAAGCACATGCCCTATTTTTGCCAATCTGACAGCTGTTTCCATAGAAACCAGAGAAGAAATAGTCATTTTCAGCAGAGTTGTTAAAACTGTCTTCCAGGCTTCAGCTGTGAGTGCCAGTGAGTGCTGTACTTGCTCATTCTGAGATGGTACTTCAAGAATTAAGGATCTGAAATGTTCTTAGAGGCTAACAATCCAAATTGTTTAATTTTCTCACATCATTAATTTAGCAATCCTACAAGTCCGCCAGCTATGTTTGTTGACCTTCTTCAGTTCTTCGAAGTGGATATGTCAGCCCTGATTTTTCTTCTGCTCTGTGTAGTCTAGTGATGGTCTCTTTGAAAATGTATATAAATAGAGTTCTCTCCCATTCTTTATTTTTTCTTAAGGGTAAACCAAGGATTATGAGCCATCAGACACTATTTCTGTTCCAAGAGACACTTGATTGTCAGTGATGTAAATGGTAATTTTTTTAAAAACTCATATACGTATAATGTTACACCATCTGTGTCAGTAGAATACTTTTCAAAAATTTCCCATACGATATGAGAGATGAGCAGAAGTTTGCTTGGCATATGAGCAGAGCTAAGCAGTATAAATAGATGCGAATCGTCATAGAGAGGAGAGCTTTGCTTTTCTGAGAAGTGTAAGTAAATCTGTGGGTCTGGAGCCCAGCAGTGGGTGAAGGGGAGGAGGAAGGTGTCTGGAGACATAGTGGGAGGCCTGGTCTGCCATACTGAAGGAGTTTATTGAAGCCAGTTGAGACTAATGGAAATTACAAAAATAGTTGCCTATATTTATTGGTTTGGAGGCTTACAAAAATAATAATAGATGCTGTAAAAATTTAAACAGCACAGAAATATATAAGATGGAAACTGTCACCATCCTGCCACCCAAAATAACACTATGAATAGTTTGGTGGTATATTCCCTTAGATTTACTTATATTTACATATGCTACCATAGTTTAGCATTACTGTTTTTGCAAATTGGGTAGAGATTTTCAACTGTTTTGTTTTCTGTGGCATCTCTAGCATCTAGAATGGTTATGTGGTATGGCATGTAGTAAACTTCTAATTAAAGATTGAATGAATGAATAACATGATTCAGAGATCAAAAACAATGGGGTCTGGCTGTGTGTGTTTGGTCAAGATGGTTAAATTTTTTTTTAATTTGGTTGCCAACATTTTAAAATTTATAACTCACATAAAGCCTGAATTTCTGACTTTCCTTGAGAATATTGAAACATTTGGCAACACAAAGCTCAAATTCCATTATACTTTTGGGATCTCCTTTAGATGGGCATCAATCTGCATTTCTATGGCTTTGCTGATACTCACCCGCATTGCCTAATGTCCAGTGTGTTCAAATAATTGTTTTATTTATTCTGTCTGTATCTTCAGTTGTTTTAGGTGGGAGGATAAATCTGGGCCTACTTACTCCATCTTGATCCCAGTCAGAAGTACCAGGTTATTTTCTGAAAGGAATAAATTTGTATTTTAAAAAATACATCTTACAAGTTAGGGTTATAAGCATTACTTGTGCCCTGCACCCCACCGTTACTGCCAATTGATAAAATTTTACTACTGTTTTTATGTAATCCATTTCTTATTCCCCAAATAATTTAGCATTAAAATGAAAATAGATGGCTGCCCTGGCTGGTGGTGACTCAGTTGGTTGGAGTGTCCTCCCATACACTGAAAGGTTGTGGGTTTGATACCTAGAGTGCGGGTTCGATCCCTGGCTGGGGCTCATAGGGAAGAGCAACCAATTGATGCGTCTCTCTCTCCCTGCTCCCTGTTCTCTCTTTAAAATCAATAAACATGTCCTCAGGTGAGGAGTAAAAAAAAAAAAAGACTTCCGCTAACTAAAAATAAAAATTGAAGAAAAAATTCAAGTTTTGAAAGTACATGTTGAAAACTAAGATTAAGTCATTGAAACCTGTTTGGTTTGTATTGATCCAAGGCGCCGCTGTAGGGGTGAGAAACCAAAGGTAATTTAGTGTGAGATAATATTCAAGGAAGAACAACTGGTACACCTATTTCGTAAGGGTTATGTTTCCAGTTTGGTATTTTCCAGAGATATTTATAGTTTATTTTTTTGTGTTCTAGATAATCAAGCAAAAGAAAGATGAGCTTCATGAACTATGGATTGCAGTCTGCTATTAGAAACTGTGTTTTCTTCCGATTTAATTTGCTGACCAACTGGAGAAGATGTAACACACTAGCTGTAACCTCACTGGACTGTCATCAAGTACAAATTAACCATATAGTAAATAAGTATCAGGGCCTGGGAATAAATCATTGTGATAAATTGACTTCTCTGCCTGGAAACTTGCATTTCTGTAGGACCTTTAATAACAAAAGAACAGGATACCTCTCCAGTATAAAAAATAAGGACATTTGGATGACTACCCGAAAATGTACTGCATGGAGTGACTCTTTTTCAAGACAGAAAATGATAAAAGTTGCAGTTCCTGCTCCTTCAGTATTGCATCCTCTAAACTGTTTTACCATTGGACACATCAGGAGTTTTCACACTTCTGCACAGTTTCAAGCCGCTCCTGTTCCTCTCTTGTGGATAATTCTTAAACCAGTGCAGAAACTACTTGCGATCATTATTGGCAGGTAAAAATGCTTTCTTAAAAAATAAACTTTTGTATTTAAAGGAGATTTAATAATCTTGAAACACTTTACTGCATATTATCTTTAAAAAGTTATTCTTATAGCCCTGACCGGTTTGGCTCAGCAGTTAGAGCGTCGGCCTGCAGTCCGGAGAGACCCAGGTTTGGTTCCCGCTAGGGGCGCATACCCCGGTTGTAGTTTGTCCCTGGCCCTGGTTGGGTTGTGCGTGTGGCAGCCACTCCATGTGTCCCTTTCACGTTGTTGTTTTTCTCTCTCTCTTCCTGTCTCTCCCTCCCACTCTGTCTGAACAAAAAATGGAAAAATGTCCTCAGGTGAGGATTAAAAAAAAAAAGTTATTCATATATAGCTTGTATAGACACTTTTTAAAAGATTGACCTTGCCCGACCAGTGTGGCTAAGTGGTTGAGTGTCGACCCATGTACCAAGAGGCCACCAGTTCGATTCCTGGTCAGGGCACATGGCCAGGTTGTGGGCCAGGTTCCTAGTGGGGGGCATGAAGGAGGCAGCCAATCAGTGTTTCTGTCTCTCTCTCCATCTCCCTTCCTCTCTCTAAAATCAATAAAGAGAGCAGATCTTTTCTCACCATGATGCCTGAAGATGCCTGGTACATGCCTTGCTTTCTTCTTATCAGAATTTAGGATAGCATCTGCTGGATATTTTACGGATGGTAAGATCAATTAGATTGCTGGTAACTGAGGCGGCTTTGACTCCCAGTGAATACTTGAAAGTATCTGGAGAATTATCAAAGGAGAGGAAGAAGGTGGGCGATCCTAAAAATGGTTGCAGAGTGAACGGAAGCTACACAGACCATCTCCCAGAACCCAACTGGAATTACAACTATAACACAGACAAATTGATGGGAAAAAGCAACAGAAAAACAGCTTGCAAGGACCATATAACCAGGGACACTGGCTCGATCCTGGTAGGATTGCGAAGGCGCGAGACAGGGGCTGGGAGCCCACAGACAGCAGCTGCCTTAGCTGGGAGCAGCGCCCTCAGGTTAAACTCCCAAGCAGCTCCACAATGCAGAGGACAGAGGCTAAAACAGCCACAGCCACTCACCTTGGGCTCCAGCAGAGGGAGGGAAGACTGGACTGGAACTGTCTGGGGACACTCTGGATTTGGAGGGCGCTCAGAGCTTTTGCTGAGTTGCTGCCACACAGGACAGTGGCCATCTTGCTCCTTCCCAGGGCTCTGGGGAGAGGCAGCAGCCCCTCCCTTGGAGATCCAACCCCGCCCTGTGGGCCATTGAAATGCTAATTGAGGCTCATTAACAGCCAGCATCTGCCCCACCCTCCGGAAATCCCCTTATGCTGAGCACCTGAGGGAGTTTTTCAATCAACTGACAACCCAAAACTCTTCAAGTAACCTCCACTGCTAGCCTCCAGGCAAAAAGCTAGAGGATAACAGTACCTTTCCTGGGCTAGCAACTTTAACCAGGAAAGTAAGACTTGACAGTGGTGTTTAACGTGGGTCCTCCCTCGCTCATCTAAACCCAGGAGAGGGAGCCACAAACAACAGAACACCAACACCCACAGGGAAAACTTGACAGGCTCCAGAGCCCACTGTGATAGCCAAAATGGTGAAACAGAAACAGAAGACAAATGAAAGAACAAGAGACCTCCACTGAAGATGAGATCAATGTGGAGCAGTTAGGCAAGTTAACAGAGCTAGAATTCAGAGCCATGATCTTGAGGAAGCTCAACAGCATGAGTAAGGACATAGAGATGCTGAAAATAAACCAATTGGAAATTAAAAACCACCAAGAAGAGATAAAAAATGACATATCAGAAATGAAAAACACATTGGAAGGTCTAAAAAGCAGAGTAGAGGAAGCTGAGAACCGGATCAGTGAATTAGAAGACAGGGTAGAAAAAGTCAACCAATTAGAAAACCAAAAGGAAAAAACAATGAAAAAACAGGAAGACAGCTGAAGAGAACTGTGGGACAACTGGAAACGTAATAATATTTGCATCATAGGAGTCCCCAAAGAAGAAGAAAATGAGCAAGGGCTAGAGAATATATTCAATGAAATAGTGAGAGAAAATTTCCCTAATTTGGTGAGGGAAGAAGGCATTCAAGTTCAAGAAGCACAGAGAGCCCCAAGTAAGAAGAACCCAAACAGGCCCACACCAAGACACATAATAATTAAAATGCCAAAAATTAAAGACAAAGAGAATCCTAAAAGCAGCAAGAGGTAAGCAACAGGTTACCTACAAAGGAAACCCCATAAGGCTCTCAGCTGACTTCTCACAAGAAACACTACAGGCCAGAAGGGAATGGCATAAAGTAATCAAGGTCATGAAAAACAAGGACCTGAATCCAAGACTACTCTACCCAGCAGGGCTGTCATTCAAAATAGAAGGTCAAATAAAGAGATTCTCAGACCAAAAAAAAAAGGTTAAGGGAATACATTAGCACCAAACCAGTGCTACAAGAAATATTAAAATGACTGCTGTAATTAGTAGAAGAAATAGGAAGAAAAATATAACCACACTAAACAAAATAGGCAGTAAACAAGTACATATCAATAATCACCTTAAATGTAAATGGACTGAATGCTCCGATAAAAAGACACAGAGTAGCTGATTGGATAAGAAAGCATGACTCATATATGTTGTTTACAAGAGACCCACCTCACAACAAAAGACTCCCATAGGTTGAAAGTGAAGGGATGGAAGAAAATTTTCCAAGCAAATGGAAAGAAAAAAAAAAGCTGGGGTAGCAATACTCATATCTGATAAAATAGATTTCAAAATGAAGGCCATAACTAGAGACAAAGAAGGACACTACATAATATTGAAAGGATCTATCCAACTGGAAGATATAACCTTGGTAAACATACATGCATCCAATATAGGAGCACCAAAATATATTTAAAATCTTCTGGAGGACTTCAAAGGAGAAATGGACAGCAATACAATCCTAGCAGGGGACTTCAACACCCCATTGACACCACTGGATAGATACTCTAGACAAAAAATTAGCAAGGAAACAGAGACTCTAAATGAAGCACTACACCAAATGGATTTAATAGATATCTACAGAGAATTACACTCCAAAACTACAGAATTCACATTCTTCTCAAGTGCCCATGGGACATTCTCAAAGATAGACCACATGATAGGACACAAACTAAATCTCTACAAGTTTAAGAAGATTGAAATCATATCAAGCATCTTCTCGGATCACAATGGCATGAAACTAGAAATCAACGGCAACAAGAACTTGCAAAGACATTTGAACATGGAGGCTAAATAGCATGTTATTAAACAATGAATGGGTTACCAAGGAGATCAAGGAAGAAATTAAAAATTTCCTGGAAACCAATGAAAATGAACACACAACAACACAAAATCTATGGGATGCAACAAAAGCAGTTCTGAGAGGGAAGTTCAAAGCACCTATCTCACTAAACAAGAAAAATTTCTAATTGACTGCCTAACCTCACAACTTAAAGAATTAGAAAGCAAGCAAAAAGAAAACCCCAGAGCAAGTAGAAGGAAGGAAATAGTAAAGATCAGAGCGGAAGTAAATGAAATAGAGACAAAAAAAAACAATTCAAAGGATCAATGAAACAAAGAGCTTATTTTTTGAAAAGATAAACAAGATTGATGGACCCTTAGCTAGACTCACCAAGAAACAAAGAGAGAGAACCCAAACACACAAAATCAGAAATGAAAGAGGAGAAGTAACAACCAACACCACAGAAATACTGTTAATAGCTACTATGAACAACTATATGGCAACAAATTCAACAATCTAAGCAAAATGGACAAATTTCTAGAAACACACAGTCTCCCAAAACTGGACTGGGAAGAGTTAGAAAACTTGAACAGACCAATAACAACTAAGGAAATGGAAGAGGTAATCAAGACTCTCCCAGCAAACAAAAGCCCGGGCCCAGATGGCTTCATAGGGGAGTTTTACCAAACATTCAAAAAAGAAATAACACCCATTTTCCTCAAACTATTTCAAAAAGTTAAAGAAGAAGGAAGACTTCCAAACTCGTTCTATGAGGCCAGCATAATTCTAAATGCAAAACCAGAAAAAGACACTATAAAGAAGGAAAAGTACAGGCCAATATCCCTGATGAACATAGACATCAAAATCCTGAACAAAATACTAGCAAATTGGATCCAGCAATACATTAAAAAAATTATTCACCATGACCAAGTGGGATTCATTCCAGGGATGCAAGGCTACTACAATATTCGCAAATCAATAAATGTGATACACCACATAAACAAAATGAAGAATAAAAACCACATGATCATATCAATAGACACTGAAAAAGCATTCGACATTATCCAGCATCCATTTCTGATAAAAATGCTCAGCAATGTGGGAATACAGGGATCATATCTCAACATAATAAAGGCCATATATGAAAGACCTACAGCCAACATCATACTCAATGGGCAGAAACTAAAAACATTTCCATTAAGAGCAGGAACAAGACAGGGATGTCCACTTTTGCCACTCTTATTTCACATAGTACTGGAAGTCTTAGCTACAGCAATCAGATGTGAAGGAAAAATAAAAGGGATCCAAATTGGAAAGGAGGAAGTGAAACTGTCATTATTTGCAGTTGACATGATATTATACATAGAAAACCCTAAAGACTCTATCAAAAATCTACTAGACTTAATAAATGCATTTGGCAACGTGGCAGGATACAAAATTAACGTCAAGAAATCGACGGCATTCATATACACCAATGATGAACTCACAGAAAGAGAAACTGAAAAAACAATCCCATTTATCATCGTGGCAAAAAAATTAAGATACCTAGGAATTAACTCAACCAAAGAAGTAAAGGACCTATTCACAGAAAACTACAGGACATTGAAAAAAGAAATAGAGGAAGATATAAAAAAGTGGAAGCATATACCTTGTTCATGGATTGGGAGAATTAACATCATTAAAATGTTCATACTACCCAAAGCAATCTATAGATTCAATGCAATCCCCATCAAAATACCAATGACATATTTCACAGAACTAGAACAAATATTTCAAATGTTCATATGGAACCAAAAAGTCCCCAAATAGCCACAGCAATTTTGAAAAAGAAGGACAAAGTAGGTGGGATCACAATACCAGATACCAGGTTATACTACAAAGCGACTGTAATCAAAACAGCCTGGTACTGGCACAAGAACAGGTATATAGTGGAACAGAACTGAGAACCCAGAAATGGACCCAAGGCAATATGCTCAATTAATATTTGACAAAGGTTGGAAGAGCATACAGTGGAGTAAAGATAGCCTCTTTAATAAATAGTGTTGGGAAAATTGGACAGCTACATGCAAAAAAATGAAACTAGACCATCAACTTACACCCTACACAAAAATAAACTCAAAATGGATAAAAGACTGAAATGTGACCCATGAATCCATAAAAATTCTAGAAGAAAATGTAGGCATCAAAATTTCTGACATCATACGCAGCAGAATTTTCACTGATACATCACCTAAGGCGACCGAAACAAAGGAGAAAATGAACACATGGGACTACATCAAACTAAAAAGCTTCTGCACAGCAAAAGAAACAATCATCAAAATGGAAAGGCAACCCACTGTATGGGAGAATATCATTGCCAATGATACATAAGATAGGGGGTTAATTTTCAAAATATATAGAGTACTCATACAACTCAACAAAAGGAAGACAAAGAACCCAATTAAAAAATGGGCAGAGGAGCTGAATAGACACCTCTCCAAACAGGACATACAAATGGCCAAGAGACATATGAAGAAATGCTCAACATCACTAATCATCAGAGAGATGCAAATTAAAACACCAGTGAGGTATCACCTCACACCTGTCAGAATGGCCACCATCAACAAATCATCAAACAACAAGTGTTGGCGAGGGTGTGGAGAAAAGGGGACTCTAGTACACTGCTGGTGGGAATGCAGACTGGTGTAGCCACTATGGAAAAAAATGTGGTGTTTCCTCAAAAAATTAAAAATTGAACTTCCATTTGACCCAGTGATCCCGCTTCTAGGAATATACCCTAAGAAGCCTGAAACACCAATCAGGAAGAATATATGTACCCCCATGTTCATAGCAGCACTATTTACAATAGCTAAGCTCTGGTAACAGCCCAAGTGTCCATCAGTAGATGAATGGACAAAAAAGCTGTGCTACATATACACAATGGAGTACTATGCAGCTGTAAGAAAGAAAGATCTTTTGTCCTTTGAGACAACATGGAGGGACCTGGAAAGTATTATCCTAAGTGAAATAAGCCAAGCAGAAAAAGACAAATACCACATGGTCTCACTTATATACGGAATATAATGAACATAACAGTCTGAGGAATATGGTAGACCCAGAAACATGGAAGTAGGGCACAGACTGACTTCCCTCAGAAAAGGGGGTGGTGGGGGTGGGAAGAGATAAACCACAGAACTTATATACATGTATGCATGACCAATGGACATGGACAATAAAGCTGGGGATGGGGCGGGGGAAGGGTGAGGGGGGAGCCAATAGGGCAAAAAAGGAGAAACATCTGTAACAAAAAAAAAATTAAAAATATAAAATCAATACAGAAAAAAAAAGATTAAAATGAGTAAATAAAAGATTGACCTTATATACATGATTTCAAAAAGAATCAGAAATGTTGATTATCACTCATGTATAAGAACAGTATTTTACGAACACCCCTTTTTTTAATTGCAGAGAATTTGAGGCAACAGATCATGAAACTGAAGAATTTTGCTTAAGAATGAGCTCTTACACCTGAAACTAATACAAAATAATGTTCAATGTAAACTAATTGAACAATAGAATTTAAAGTTCTTTAAAAAATTTTTAAAAATAAAATGGAGGAGTTAATTTTTAAAAAAAAGAATGGGAAAAATAAAAAAAAGAATGGGCTCTCTCCTAGCCAAGTTGAGTCTTAAACCATTAATATTTATTTGTTTTTCTATTCTATTTTTAGCAAATCTTTATTTGCCGTTAGCAGTCCTTTATAATAGTTAATACTTTTATAGCTAAATAGTAGTTCTTTGTATTTGATTTAACCTCTTCTTCTCACAATTAATCTTGTTTTCTCTTATTTGCTCCATGAAGATTAACAAAGGTTAAGCATTATCTCCTCATAAAGCTTTCTTATGTTTGATAACAGTGAAGTTTGTTCTAGCCTTCTTCTTAGTTACTTACCAGCCCAATTTTGTTTTTATCAAAATTGAGAACTTGGCCCTGGCCGGTTTGGCTCAGCGGTTAGAGCGTTGGCCCACGGACCAGAGAGTCCTGGGTTCGGTTCCTGCTAAAAGGCATGTACCTTGGTTGCAGTTTTTCCCTGGCCCCAGTTGGGGTTGTGTGAGTGCAGCCACATCGATGTGTCTCTCTCTTCCTCCCTCTCTCCCTTCCGCTCCATCTGAAGATAAATGCAAAAATGTCCTTGGGTGAGGATAAAAAAAAAAAAATTGAGCCCTGGCTGGTTTGGCTCAGCAGTTGGAGTGTTGGCCTGTGGTCAAGAGAGACCCGGGTTCAGTTCCCACTGGGGGTGCGTGCCTCAGTTGCAGTTTGTCCCCGGCCCTGGTTGGTCGTGCGGGTGGCAGCCACTCGATGTGTCCCTTTCACATCGATGTTTCTCTCTCTCTCTCTCTCTCTCCCTCCCACTCTATCTGAACAAAAAATGGAAAAATGTCCTCAGGTGAAGATTAAAAAAAAAAATTGAGAACTTGTACTCTGTAATTTATTGTGTTCTTTATGATTTGGCATTGGCATGCAGAAAATGTACAGCTAGATAAACTCTCAAGTAAACACTGTACAAGAAAACTAGAGCTAGACAACAGTTAAAGCAGCAAAAACAGATTTTATTCAGGAGTATTGTAGTAGGGGAAGAGAGACCTCAGTGTAGAACCAGAGTCAATTCTGAACACAGCATGGGCAAGTAGGAATTTATTTATAGTCAAGTTGCTGAGTAGGGATCCGTAGATGGAAAATTAGAGGAAACATTGGGAGTAAGGGGAGATTCTGCCTAAACAGACCTAACAGGATTCTTGCTGAAGGTAGGTGAGGGTGATCATGTATCATCTGGGCGGCTGGTGAAGGACGAGGCTTCCGGTTAAATATCAAAGGTGATCAGATGTGGAGGATGGGGGATTCTGGATAAAATGACTTAGTGGGATTCTTGCTAAAATCGGACAATGTAGAGTCTGAAAGTCAAGACCTAGTTGAAAAAGAGTTCAGGAGACCCTGAGTAGAGTTTGCTGGAGTAAAGAATCTTTGTCACAAATCAGCCCAGGTTCTTGAGCCAGTAGCTCTTTTTCATCCTTTTAAATTATTTATTTTTAACTTTTTTCATTGTTGTTGTTAACTAGTGTCAGTCACCTAAGATTTTTTTTGAATGTGTTTTTATAAATTTAAACAAATAATAACAAGTCATACAAAGTTTTAAATAGGAAATAAATATACTTTACAGATTGGTTTAATCTTTTTTGGGTTGAAACACTTTAGAGGCATTTTAGGTGTGACAACAAAAGATAACTTAAGGAAGTTACTTTATAAAATAAGTTTTGTCAAGAGAATAATGTATATATTTTAGATTTTTGTTGTGATTTTACAGATGAACTCACAATGAATATTTTTTGTCCCAGTCTTGAAAACATTGCTTGTTGTCAAAATGTCTCTGGACCCTGCTAAGCAGTAGAGCGTATTGTTGCCTGGTAGAAATTGGAACGTTCCAGGTGTTATCTATAAAATCTCTTATTTCCTTAACTTTTATGCTTATGCTCTTCTACCTTTCTTTTTTCATGTTCTAGAGGGGATGGGGTTTCTGCTACTGAACAATACGTCTAAAATTAATGCTGAGGTAGTTTACCTTGTACCTTGCTGAAGCAGTGGCAGATTGTGCTGGAAGTCTGATGAGCAGTGGGGAGAATGGTGGTTAAAAGTATAGATTTATTGTATCATAACCCCTCAGGTGTTTATTTGGGCAGTTCATTCCCTATTAAGTGGTTAAGTGCTCACTCTGGAATCCCATTACCTTCATTGCTTGGTTTTCCTCTTATTACCTCTACAACCTAGGATAAATTGCTTACCTTCCCTATGTCTCCATTTTCTCTTCTGTAACGGTTTTTATGAAGACTAAATAAGATGACGTATGTATAATGATTAGAAGAGTACTTTGAGTGTGGTAAACAGTCAGTCAATGTTAACTGGTGGTAGTTGTGGTAAAATAGCTCCTCATTTATTTTGTACCTTTAAGGTAACTGAAGAAAATTAAAATGAGCTTTAGACTTTTAACCATAGCTGTATATAGTTAATTTTTTCATCATTTAGTTAAGAATTTTATAACTTTGAAAAAGCCATTTATACAGAGGAATATAACATAAATTCAAGTATTTGATGACATAAAATTCTAGCATAAGCATTTAGGTTTGGTGATATGTGCTGATACCGTTATCAGAACTTTGAATTCTTCTTTTTGCTCTAGGGGCATAAGGAAATGGTGGCTCGCACTTCCTCCCAACAAGAAGGAACTGTTTAAAGAAAGTGTAAGGAAGAATAAATGGAAGTTATTCCTGGGTTTGAGTAGTTTTGGGTTGCTCTTCGTAGTGTTTTATTTTACTCATCTGGAAGTGAGTCCAATCACAGGAAGGACCAAGCTACTACTCTTGAGGAAAGAACATTTCAGTCTTTTATCAGAACTGGAATATGAAGCAGTAAGTAGTAAGACTTGTTTTTAATTAAATTGTTTAATATAATACTTAAAGCAGGAAAGTTTCTTAAATATGAAAGATGTACTACTTTTTAATTTTAGTCTTTGATAAGAAATTAGCATTTTCCTCCCAAAAGGCTTAGATCTTTTATGCTTAGTATTTCTACTAATTATATTGCTTCCCTCCTATTCACCCAGCTTATTCACCCTTTTATCACATGTCAGCTTAAATGTCACTTTTTCAGGAGAGCCCTCCTTCATTATCCCACCTGGGTTAGGCAGGGTGGCTACATTGAGCTCAAGGGGGTATCCTTCATATCGACTGAATTAGGAATTGGTTCCTTTTCAGTTGTGCCCAGTGCTTGGGGTTATTTCTCCTACTTTATTTTCTCTTGGCATACTATACTTTACCTTTAAAGCACTTATCATATGGGTAACATAATTATTTACATAATTATTTATTTGATGATTTGTCTCACTTGTTAGACTAAGCTTCATGGGAGTAGAGACCCTGTCTGTTTTATGATTTTATCTTTAGTATAGTGCGCAGAGTAGTCCTTAGTATATATTTAGTCTCATTTTTGTACCTGAAAGTAAAGTAGAATAAGAGGTTTTTTATTTTATTTTTTGTAACATGAATTTTGACAATTTATTATATTTTTTGAATGCAAAACAAAGTTGGAATTTAGAAGCCTTAGCTTCTTGGACAGTATAACTCAGGTAGTTAAACATTTTGTACTACTAGTGAGCTCCTTGAGAGCAGATCATCTTTCTATCTCTAGTGCATAGCGCATACATAGTATGTGCTTAATCAATGTTTGTTGAAGTCTTAGCCTCACTTAGTCGCTTTGTCAGGGTTAGATCGATATCTTTTGTTTCAATTGAGTTTCTGAGTATGTCAGTGCAAAGTTACCATTAAAAAAAAGAGGTCACCAGTTAGACTCCCGCTCAGGACACATGCCTAAGTTGTGAGCCCAGTGCGGGGCATGCAGGAGGCGGCAATTCGATGTTCTCTCTCATCGATGTTTCTATCTCTCTCTCCCTCTCACTGTAAAATCAATAAAGGAGAAACATTAAAAAAAAAAAGAAATAACAGTGGTTTTTCACTAGTATATCTATTAGAACATCCTTTCTAGTAGAATTTATACAGAGATTTGAAATACTTCTTAGAATATAGTCCAGTCAGAGGAAAGTTTGAAAGTGTTCTGGAAATATTGAGACGGGCTAACCATTCACATCACTAAGAAGGTTTAAAAAGATGTATGGGTATACACACACACACACTGACATACATACATACATACGTACATATATACTCTTCTTTTTTCTTATTCTTTAACCTACAGATTTAATACCTGCTTTACATGAAAATTCAAACACATGTTCTTATAGGGCTATTGTAAAGTATTGTAATTACGATGGTTCTCCCTTATTCGTGGTTTCTTTACTTTTTCTTTTTAGCCTCCATTCTGACTTTTTAGCTTCCAAACTCCATTAACAGTTTGGTTTTATATTTGGTGTAGGGTAAACATCCCTAGCCAGGTAGAATATCTTTTCTCATCCCACATTCAGGTGAAAGGGACACAAGTTATGTGCATAAGCCTATTTAAACATTCTGGCTCTCATAATCCCATCAGCTCTTTCATTGAGAGAACAACCTTTACGTTCTCTCAAGCCAGGGCTTCACCAATGGATTTTGGTACCACAGTTTGTGGCACTCCCATGTCAAGGAGTCCAGAAACTTGTCTTCCTCCTGACCTTTTTACCCACTCTGGTATAAAGACGTTGGGTCCCCAGTGAGAGGTCGAGTCAAGGGACCCTGGTCCTTTCGTCAGCCTTCATCTTGATTCCTCTCCCTAACCACTGCTTGAAGCAGTTACAGGTTAGATTTCTCATTGTAATCTTTGCATCTTGGTTTTCAAAATATCTCCAAACTGGGTTAAATAAAGCAGACTTATTTGGGGCTCTTTAATCCTCGGGATACAGTAGGGGGTCCTTTTGGCCTGTACCACCTTGGTAGTACTGTATCAAAACCTCTGCTTGAGCCTCATCAATGTTCATTTTATTCATACCTAACCATTGAGGGTATGGGTGTTCATGCCCTGGGCCAGGACTGCTGTGGTTGAGGTCCCAGCATTGACTCCTCCTCTTAGGGGCTCAGTGGCATGGAATCTGGGCAGTTCCATGAGCTGAAATTAGCACAGGCAAAGACTCAAGGAGTCCTTAGTGGTAAAGCTTTGGGTGTCCCTGACAGCCATGAGGGCTGCTTTCCTTGGTGGTGAAAGCTGCTGGCGTCTTCTGCTCTCCTTTTCCTCCTAAGGAGGAGGGCACAGTTGAGGGCATCCCTTTTGGTGGCAAGCTATGGGGGATGGGCTGACACATGAAAAATGCTGCCTATGCTTTTCTGTGTGGCCATCTTTGATTTCTGTGCTCCACTGGTTGCGCTAGCTCCTTCATTGTACTCCAGAGCTCTCTTAGAGCTATTTTTTTAAATCAATAAGTAACTGTTAATTATTGTTTTTCTGGAGATTCAAGTGCTGGGACCTCCTGCTCCACCAAACATGCTGATGTCATGCTCCTAAAGGTTTGTTGTTTCTTTCTTTTTTGTAAGAAACAAAGATGGTACTTGGAGGAACATGACTTTTTACATGGTATTTGACTTTAGTTGGGGTGCTTTCATGGTGCTAGGCTCAATTGGGACAGGCTATGACCCAAGGAAACCTAGCTGATTTTCCTTCCTCCAAAGGCACTAATGACTGCCCTTGATACTGAAATTTGGCTCCGGAGACTGAGAGGACACAAATTTTAGGCAGTGATGAAAGGGAGAGAGATTTCTTTTTATAGAAAAAGATAAATAACTGGTCTGTTTAGACTGGAGTTAACCCATTAAAAGATTTGAAAATATCTCTCAATTTTGCAAGATTTGTATTACAGACCTTTTTCAAGAGCTGTGGATATATGGGCCATCACACTAAAGATCTATCCCAGCCATACCCCTCAACCAGGCACTTTGGGAAGAGGTACTGATCTAGACTGCCTGGGTGATCATCCCTAGGTAAGGCATATAGTTGTAAAAACTGATCTATGTCATAGGGAATGGAGGCCCAAGGAGAATTGGAGACACCAAGACATATCTGCTGGAGATCTTGAGGCTGAAAACCCTATGATGCATTCCACATGGAGGCACCAGCCTCTCCAGGTTGCTCGATAGAAGTCTTAGGTGATTCATGGTCATAGGCATTCACAGTGCTGGGACTCGTGGGATGAGTGTTTGTAGAAGTTACAGAAAAGGGGTCTCCTCCTTCGTGGAAATGATTGGGTTCGGTGCTTCTAGTGCCAGACTTGGCCATTTGTAGCTGCTGCTTCCTCCTTTCACGTGCTGGTTCTTGACCCAAGTCTTGATTACTAACTCATCAAGTTGAGTAGCTGACGTAAGTTCTGCCGTGGTAACCCAGTGTGGGTACATGGTTTTTTCAAAAGTATCTTTCAGTTTTTTTAAGCTGTTCCAGACTATAAAGGTTGTGTGGTACTGGCAAATTGACCTTCGCTTTTCTGCCATAATATCTCTTAGAAGTAGAATGATCTGCGGTGTGTGTTTCTGAGTTTCTCCCTTATTCATGGTTTCAGTTTCCCTCCGTCAACCCTTGGTCCAAAAATATTAAATGGAGAATTCCAGAAGTAAACAATTCATAAGTTTTAAATTACATGCCATTCTGAGTACCTCACTTCATCTCATCACATAGGCATTGTATTATCTCACATCATTACAAAAAGAAGGATATGAGGAAGAAATACAGTATGATATTTTGAGAGAGACCACGTTCACATAACTTTTATTACTATTACAGTATTTGTTATGCTTATTTTATTATTATTGTTATTAATCTCTTACTGTGCCTGATTTATAAATTCAACTTTATTACAGGTATGTATGTGTAGGAAAAAACATAGTATATAGGGTTCGGTACTATCTGCTATTTGAGGCTTCCACTGGGGCTTGGAACGTATCCCCCACAGATAAGGGGGGACTACTGTACGTATAATCTTGCTTGTTTTATCCATTTCAGAAGGGTTAATATAATAGTGGGGTTTTTTTTGTTTGTTTCAAACAGTTTACATTGGTGACTTGTGCTTTTTAAAAATGCTAATTGATATAAATACTTACAAATTCATATTCTATAAAATCACATTTATTTATTTATTTATTTATTTATTTATTTATTTATTTATTTATTTATTTATTTATTTATTTTATCCTCACCTGAGGACATTTTTCCATTTTTTGTACAGATAGAGTGGGAGGGAGAGAGAGGAAGAGAGAGAGAGAGAGAAACATCGACGTGAAAGGGACACATCGAGTGGCTGCCACCCGCACGACCAACAAGGGCCGGGGACAAACTGCAACCGAAGTACGTGCCCTTAGCGGGAACCGAACCTGGGTCTCTCCATACCACAGGCCGACGCTCTAACCGCTGAGCCAAACCGGCCAGGGCTAAAATCACTTCTTTTTAATGCATCTCAAGGAAGAAGCTTATAAACTTGTTGATTTATATGCCAAAGAAATGATATATTTAGTGGAAATTAAAGTAATATTTTCAGAACATCCTTATTCTCAGTACACTTGAAAGGGTCTTTCATGAATATTGTTTCATAAAAGTGTCTTTATGTGGTGGCTACTCTTAATCAGCATAATATAGAGAAAATGATATGCCCAATAGTTCTAAAATTTCAGTAATTTCCTCTCATTCTATGTGAATAAAACACTTAAAATTAATGAAATATTGAGGTTTTTTTTTTTTGTAAAGGTTTAACTTTCTTATTAAGTATAGGGTATTTTTCTATTCAGGGGGTTATGAAAGTAATTTTCTTTTGTATTTTACTTTCTTATATGAAATCTTTATGTTCTCTAAGTAGTGTTTTGTTTTTTTAAAAACTTAGGGAAATAGAAATAATATATGAGCATTTTATTTATAGGCTAAAAGAAAAGGTGAATGAAGTTTTTATTTGAACTAATTTATATGAAAACTCTTAGTTATTAGAATTTATTTAATTTGTGAGAAACCACATTATCTTTGTGTGAATAATTCAAATTTGATAAATTTGAGTGTTTGATATATGCAGATTTTTACATAATTAAAAATTAAAATGTTCAACAATAAGTAACCATGTAACTCATGAAGCAATATAAACATTTTGTAGAACTAAAACTATTAAAGACTTATTTTCTTTTTAATCTTTTAGTACATGGAAGAATTTAAAAATGATATGCTAACTGAGAAAGATGCCCAATACCTGACCGTTAAAGAAGTGTTTTATCATTTAATTGAATGCAATAAAGATATTCCAGGGATCTCTGAGATCAGTTGGATTATTCATGTGGTTAATTCCCCGGATATAAATGCCTTTGTGCTTCCAGTAAGTAAATGTTCTCAAATCTAACTTTTAATTGTTAAATTTAACTTTCTTGTTTTTTATGGTGTTCTAATTGCTCATATTATTTTCTTTATGGTACAGAATGGACATGTGTTTGTCTTTACTGGGCTTCTTAATGGTGTGTCTGATATTCATCAACTTTCCTTCATTCTGGGCCATGAAATAGCACATGCAATACTTGAGCATGCTGTAAGTACCTAAAGTGAACGTTCAGTTGTTGAAATACTGCAGTTAGCAAGTTAAATCTTTTAAAGAGCTGAGTCTTTTCAGTTTTTTTTTAGATGGAATTTTAGTTTTCAGTGATTGTCTTATTCTGTTACCTGAAAAAATATGATTGGCTAATTTTGAGAGTTTTTATGGTCTTTAGTATTTGATATTGAATAATTCGTGTTTCTCTTAAATACTATTTTTATCACCTGTCTCTTTTGCTAAGAAGTAATTATTCTCAACCTCTAATTATTTCAAATTAGATTAAAAAAAATTTTATAATTATTAACATGTATTATAGTCAGAAAGTTAGTTGTAGGAAAGTGATATTACTGTTTAACTGAGTAAGTCAGTTTTCTTGCCTTTTTATTCATTCTCTGAGGATAACTTGGAGTTATCTTTGAAAATGTCTAGAATGATATGCAATATATACTTAGTGTAGAGTAATAGTAATGATGCCTTGCCATTTTACAGTTTATTGAGCCTTTTAATACGTATCTTCTCATTCATGATTTAAAACCATCCTCATGAGGTATGTATTTAATATCCCTATATTGTCTATGAGGAAACCAGTGTTTAAAAAGGCCCTAAGTGCATCACTGATGTGACAAAGTGGAAGAACTGGGTCTTTAACCCAGGTCTTCTGTTTGCAAGTCCAGATTCATTTAACCATAGTTATCTGGTTGTTGGCAGCACTTTCTTATAGATCACAGAATTCAGATTGATTTATTCTCCTGTGAATGCACATCTGTTTGACTTGGTGTGAGCCCATAAGAGTAATATATTTGTTTACTCATATTTTATTTTATTCATTAAAAAGTATGCATGCCTCTTTTTTATTCATTCATTTATGGATGTACAGCACAGGGAATATAGTCAATAATATCATAATAACTTTGCATGGTAATGGGTGGTTATACTAGACTTAGTATGGTGATCACATTTTAAGGTATATAAATGTTGAATCACTTTTATACATTTAAAACTAATATAATATTGTATGTCAACTATACTTTAATTAAAAATTTTAAAAAATATGCACGGCTCTTTTGTCCACATGATTAGAGAGAGGTATATTTTCTTTAATTGAGAGCATGAAGGTAAATAGTGAAAGGATTGTGAAATGCTACATAGGAAGTGCAGGTAATATTAACTTTAAATGGATAGTATAATGTTATTAATTTCTCTAAAAGTCATCTCAAATTCTGTCTATTCCTTAGAGTATTAATAAGATGAGGTAGGCCAAATTTGTGCTTTTTGAAGTACAAATAGTAAAAATCTTTATTTCTTCTGAGTTGTAGGAAAATTTTAAAATATTTACTTTAAACAAATATATACAAGAATAAATCTGAGCAGTTAGATTTTATCTTTCAAGAAATGGCTTCAGAACTACAAAATCAATCAATTTTGGCTATTTTTAGCATTTAAAAGCTGTTAATATTTAGTACATTTGTTTTCCTGGCATCTCGTTCATTGCCACATTCAACATATTGTTATCTCTGTCAGTGCAAGAATAATAATCAGATGAGACATAAAAAGTAATAGAAGCCTTAAAAATAGAAAATAGTTATTAGTATTTCTTTGGCAGAGGTCTTGGACATTATCAATACTATGTTTTCTCTTTTAGGAGTCTTTATTTTTGGTTGACGGAGGCTTTTATATTTTCTTTAGTCCACAAATACACAGAGATTTTGCTGTATAATAGCAATTATATTCTTCAGTAATTGATAACAAGGATTTTTCTGTTTTATAGCGACTTCATCATTTGGAATTTTACTCTTTCATGCTAAAATAATTCCATAATTGTTTATGACCCTCAGTTTTTATCATGAAGCAAAGAGTGCTTCATGAGGGCAGACTGTATTATAAAGAGAAGTATTCTAGGTGGTTATTTTTAGTTGTCAGCTATGTTTCATACAATAAAGTAATGATTTCTATATTACCAGTATTAGCATTACATTGACATTTATAATCAACTTGAATAGTGAACAAAAAACAATCCTGTGAATGGTGAACAATGAACAATCCTGTGCACTAAACTTATATTTAGATATTCCTACTAAAAACAACTATTTTAAGGAAAGCCTTTTTTTATTATTGCTATAAGTAACTATAAAAACCCAATTTCCTGCTGAGAAACACTAGACTTATAAAATTGCAAAGTAATATCAAGTGAATCATACTTTATATATTAGGTCATAATGGCCATAGATTTTTATTTAAAATAAACGTCTATCCTGGCTGGTGTGGCTCAGTGGTTGAGTGTCGACCCATGCACCAAGAGGTCACCAGTTCGATTCCTGGTCAGGGCACATGCCCAGGTCGTGGGCCAAATCCCCAGTGGGGGGCATGTAGGAGATGGCCAATCTATGTTCTCTCTCTCTCTCTCTCTCTCTCCCTCTCCCTTTCTCTCCCTCTAAAGTCAGTAAAATCAGTCACTCAATCAATCAATCAATAAAATAAATGTCTAATTTTTTTGAATGGTTCCTTGTTTTAACTGCTTCATGTGTTAGGTAATGTTTAGTCTCTGTCCAAACATGTAATAAACACGTTTGTTTGATTTTAAAGAAGAATTAGTAACTGTGTTAGAAACTAAACCTTTTTGGCGTTAATTCTTTGTCCTTTTACTAATAGATGGGTGAATTTGGGTAACTTGAACCTGTCTTCATCTTAGTTTCTTTATAAAATAGGGATACTAGTACACATTTCACAAGATTGTTATGCTTGTTAATATAAGAAACTGGAGATTAATGAACCTGTCATTGTATCTCAGTGATAAGTGGATCAATAAATGTTAACTGAATAAATGAATGGACATATAAGTATGTAAGCAAAGGATGGAGCACTGAGAAAGGGTAAAGCACACAGAAGAAAAATAAACTTAGGATCTTAGTTTGTGAAGGTCATTTAAATGTAAGTAATTATTTAATGTGATTTCACATGATGAACTAGAATATGTAAGCATGTACTGTCTCGATTTATTAGATGTAATTTTCATTATTTTGATTATTCTCAGGCAGAAAAGGCCAGCATGGTTCATCTGTGGGATTTCCTAGGTCTGATTTTTCTCACAATGATTTGGGCTGTTTGTCCTCGAGATAGTTTGGCAATTTTGGGCCAGTGGTTACAGTCTAAAATGAAAGAGGTAAGTCTGAGACAATAACTTGAATTTTTAATGGCCTGTGGTGAGGATATTTTAATATTACTGTAAAGCAATAAATGCCAGAGAAGTTTTCACATATTATCATGAAATATGAGTACCAATTTAGTGTTTTGTTATTTTCTCATATTTGGGAGATAATCTCTTAAATGATGAAGATAGATGGGTTAGAAGGGCTTAGAAACTTTTGGCTAACATAATTTATTTTTTTTTGGAATAGTTACCTGTCTTACAAAGACAACCCAGTCACAAATCCTTCCTTTCCTTCTGTCGCTTTACCTTCAAACTTTCCATTTTTGTTTCTCGTAGTGACTGTGCTGTACTCACTGGATGATTCTCTGTCCCCTCAAATATTTGCATTTTGGTGGGGAACTCTTAAAGCCTGTGAACGTTTATGGGCACAAGGTTGGCTGGGCTACTTCACCACCCTTATCTTCTTACTCCTAGTTAAACTAACATTGCCTAGAGAAGAGTGAAAGGACAGTCTTATTAGGTGTTTGTTAACTTTTGTTTTTAGTGCTTATGTATAATGATAATCATCTCATAAAATGTGTTGAGTCTCATTTTGTTCAAAACAGCACCACTGAAAGTAGGTTCTGCGATCTTGATCATTTCTTTGTTAACTATGATTAATTATTTTATTTAAATCTTTTTTCAAATATTCCTTCTTGTCCTGGGAGGTTTGGTTATTTAAGAACAATCTGTTATTTGTTTATTTAATGATTTGTGGAGCACCCATCAGAGTGCCATCTGGGTGCTGTTTAAATCTGATGTGTAAAATTCTTTGAGACAAATTGCTTTTGAAATTGGATAACTAAGTCTTTTATATAGTGTTACCATATTATTTGGCTTCATTTATATTGAAATAAATGTTCTTAAAAGGAAAAAGAAGGAATGGTTATTGCTTAGGTTATAAGATCTCATATTTTGAATATTATTTCTGTTATGATATGCTGGAAGTCAACGGAGTTAATTTAGTTTTTTCTCTATCAATAGATAGCTTTGTCTGTAATGGAACCAGAAGATTTGGTCATAAAGATAACTTGTAGCTTTTTCTTTTTCGAAATACTTGATGAATCCTGCTACTTCAGTATAATTCTTTAATATAATAATCAAACAGAAAATAAAGTAGGGATTACTTCTCTTTGAACCCTTTTCCCTGAAATCAAGTGTCCCCAGATTTTGGTGACAAGGAAATATTTTTGCCTAGAAAGCCTTGCCTGTTGTGACTAGAGAGCAGAGGGGAATGTGTATAGTGACGTCATAAAGGAAGGGGAATTGCTGACATTTATCTGCCAGAGAAAGGAATAGAAGAAGGAAGAAGTAAGGGCCCTCACTTAACCATCAGGGAGCCCTGTTTTTGTAATCTTAAAGATTTGGGTATAATGTAGCAGCCCTCATAGAGCGCTACCAGGCAGGGTTTTGAGAACTATTAATAATAATCATAGTAGCAAACATTTATGACATGCTTACCATATGTTAGACACTAGGATAAACAGTATAGATTAATTATGTACAGGGGTTAAGAGTACCAGCTCTGCCTGGCTGCTGTGGCTCAGTGGTTGAGCATCGACCCATGTACCAAGAGGTCACTGGTTTGATTCCCAGTCAGGGCACATGCCCAGGTTGTGGGCCCAATCCTGAGTGAGGGGCATGCAGGAGGCAGCCAATTGATATTCTCTCTCATCAATGTTTCTATCTCTCCTCCCTTCCTCTCTCTCTAAAATCAATAAAAGAAAAAGAAAAAAAAAAAAATACTAGCTCTGATGAGACGGACCAGTGTTTGAATTCAGACTCTTTAGACCTAAACACTATAGAACCTGGGCAGGTTACTTCACCTATATAGATCCCAATTTCTTCCTTTGTGAATTGGAATAATAATACTGGCTAACTCAAAGCATTGTTGTGAAATGAATGCAACATTTAAAGCAGGATTTCTCATTGTAAGCGCTACCAATATTTTTGCACTGGATAGTTCTTTTTGGAGAGCTGCCCTGTGTACTGCAGGGTGCTAAGTAGCCTCTAAACATCTAGCTGCCTCTGAACATCTGGCCCCTACCCACTGGATGCCAGTAGCACTCTCCCTTCCCACCCACCCCCACTCCTCCAGACAATCAAAACTCTCCAGATATTTCCAAATGTCCCCAGGGGACACAGTCACAGTCACATCCCTTTTAGAACCACTGATTTAAAGCATTTAGCACAGTACCTGGCACAAAGTAAGGACTCAATAAATAGGAGCCATTATTATTGTTTGCTCATTTTATCCTCTCTGCGACATGTGATGCCACTGGGCTTAGAGGTGTTAAATAATTAGCCCAGGGTGAACAGTTAAAAAGTGTCAGCTTTTGAAATTGAACATAATTTTTCTCCTTTGAAAGCCAATGTTTTAAATTAGTTATACTATCAGTGGAGTTGATGGGACACCTGTAGATGAGTCATGGCGAGTGAAGACACTATATAATATAGTTTAGCAACCTAAAACAGACATTATTGAAGAGGAAGAAAGGTCTATACAACAGTCACACACTGTGGATCAGATTGATTATATTATTTCTAGCTATCATTGACATGTACTTCTGAAAAATTGCTTCCTCAATTAATAGCTCTTTTCTCAAAAGTCCTGCCTATTGATCCATCTCCTACAAAGTTTTAGTGCTTACTGAAAATTAGAATTAACTGGAAAGCATTCACATAAATACAAGTAATTAGGAAAATTAAAGTTACAATATCTACTTGCATTTTTTTTATTGAGGTTGGAAGAAAGTTTCATTTTCCTAACTAATCAATACTTAGAAAAAAGGAAATTAAGATAGTTTATCAAAGAAAGAACATTCTGCTATATGGTTAATTTTCCAACTGAAATAAATCCTCCAGTAGTGTCACTGGCTATTAGATAGCTATACTTTTTCAATTTTCTTTTAAAACCACAAGATCAAAATGTGCCTTGGCCATAATAAAAGACTGCATCAACAAGCTTTCTTAGGGAATCTTCTACATAGTAGATGGAGATTATAAATGGATAAAAAGAAGTACTCTATACGATACAGTAGAGTTTTCAGAAGTTTGTAGGCATGATTTTTTTTTTTTTATTCTTTCTATGTCTTAAAAATATCAATCTCTGGTAGAGGAAATAAAGTCTGCATTGTGTGTTTTATACCATAGTGTTCTTTGAATGCTAATAAATGGAGAGTATAAAAACTTGATTCTAGATATTCCACGAAATTAATTTTAAAAATCTGATTTTGTTCTGAAATAACGTTAATGGAGCTTTTCTTTTCTATTTCTTAGTATTTGTTTAGTAGACCGTACAGTAGAACATTGGAGGCCGAAGCTGACAAAATTGGACTACTAATTGCTGCAAAGGTAAAATGTTCAGTAGTTGAGAATACACAGTGTCCTTCACATGGTAAAAGATAAATGTGCGTTGTCTTATGAAGTTTGGCACGGACAGAGAATGAGCGATTGTATACAGTTTCCATCAACACCATTTAAAATCTGTACCCTCTGGAAGCTAATCCTCTCTTTAGTTTACTCTTCTCCCTTGTTTTGGGGATCTGAGGAGGCTTTTTAAGTAAGTAAGATGATGTATAGCTGTTTTTCATACTGGAAGAAGGGTTTATCATATTGTAGCTAAGATCCCGGCTGAGTAAATTGAATTTTCACTGTTAAAATAAACGGTAGAAGAACAGGCTTATTATTCTGTATCTTTCAGATTATTTTTGTTATAGCAGATGGCTTATTTTTGTTCTCCACAGAGAGCAGCTCTGAGTATTTATCCTGATTTGTTAGCTTTGTTCATGTCTTTATGTCAGGTTGCTGTTTTTAATCACCTGTGATAACCGAGTATTATTAGTAATAGTATTTAACATTAGAAGTAAAACCGAACTTTTAAAAATGAGTCAAAACAGTACCACTTCACATATTAAATTCAAATTGTATTTGATTCTTTGTTGAGTTTTTGGTAGTTAAGTCATTCTTATTTGAACTTGTCATTATAAGTTTTATGGATTTAATTTCATAAACCAAGATATTACTTATTCACAAAAACAAAAGCAGTTTTTTGAATGTACATAAGTCAAATTGAGTAAATTATCAGACTGCATAGATGAAGAGGTTGCCAAATAATTGTCCATGGATTGGCTATATCATGACTTTCCTAGTGCTGATGTGCTACAGTTTATGAAATTTTCCTTTTAGGTAAGTGTGTTCTGGTTACAAAATCTTTGCCTCTCTCAATAAATTGTTCCTGGGTACGTGCCTGGTCTGGGAATCATACCCTCAACCTTTTGGTACACAGGACGATGCTCCATCCCACTGAGCCACACCTGCCAGGGCAACCATACCCCCTTTAAAGTGTGTGTGTGTGTGTGTGTGTGTGTGTTTGTGAGTGTGTACATGTACGTGCACGCGCGCACGCGTTTTTTTAGAAAAGTCATTTAGTGTTATAATGGGAAATAACAGCCTCTGCTGCCCCCTTCCTTAGACCCAGAGGTGAAAATCACCTTAAATTCTTCTAGCTATTTACCTTTATAATTCTGTGTAATATGTTTGTTTTGTAATTTCTTGACTCATTAGGTTTTGACATTATTGGTTTCTTGTTATAGAAGATTTAGTATTTTATAACCTGACTAATGATTTTATGGCTTATTTGCCACCTGTATTCTTCCTTGGTTAAGTATCTGTTCAAATCTTTTGCTATATTCTAGTTGGATTGTTTTTCTTACTATTGACTTGAGATTGTTATTTAGACATTCTGAATAGTCATGTGTTTATATGTGAAAGTAGTTTTCCTTATCTGTGACTCTTCTTTTCCTTAATAGGGTTTTTATCTTTTGCACAGCAAACTTTTAATTTTAATGAAATCCAAGGAACCTCTGTATCAATTTCTGGGACAGACTCTTTTGTGGTACAATCTAGCAAATTCCAGCCACTTGTGCAGCCCTAACCCTTGGTGTCCTGACTCCTTAGCTCAGCTAGTCTCACCATGTTCTCTTAGAGGTTCTGCCTCCCTCTCTTGTCAGGAAACTGTCCTAGGCAGAGAGTAAGGGCAAATCTGGACATAACCCTGGGTGTTTCTGTTTCTCTCAAGAATTACATTCTTCTACCTGTTGTTCAGTACCTGAAAATGTTTGCCCTATATATCTGTTTAGTTTTGTAGATATTTATGTTTGGGAGGACAAGTCCAGTATTAATTACTCTCTCATGGATGGAACTGTAAATCCCCAAATTTTTGATTCATAAGTTGTCTGTCCGTATTTTCTAAGATGGCATTAAGAAACTTTTTAGAAGCTCAATATGCATAGGTTGGGATAGTAGATGTCATTGTAAGATTATAAGACAATGAGGTAGCTCTTTTTTTTGGAACCTCCACATGGAATACGTATAGGCCTTTTTTCTGAGGCTATTCAAGTTTCTTTGCAGAAAAATCCTGTAAAACTGGATTCTCAGGAGGGGGGTGTAAGGGATTTAGGGAAAGGAGGAGGTGGGGGTTTTCCCATTCATTGTGGAGACTTAACTTTATTTGCTATTTGAACCTTATACCTCACCCCTTCTTTCCTGGGTACCAAATACTGAACCTTCCTGGCATCCCCATAGTGCAGGGTATCAGTCAGCTGCACAAGAAGCAATATAGTGTCGTGATAATGAGTGAGCTCTAGAACTAGACTGCCTCAGTTTAAGAATTTGCTGTGCCATAGAGTCCTAGCTGTGTGATCTTGGGCAAGTTGTTTATCCTTTTTGTACCTTGATTTTTCTCATCTGTTGGATAGGAACAAAAACAGGACCTATATCATTTCAATACAATTAAAGCCCTAAGAGTACTAATCTTCTAATCATTTATATTCCGATGTTGTCCTGCTATTTCCTCTTTATATTTTTCAGGTATCTCAAACCTAATAAATTCAATGTTAAATCCTTGATTTCTGGTCACATCTGTTTCTCTTCTAGTCTTCCTTTTTCTAATAAATATACCACTTTATATTCAGTTGCTTTTGGAAAAAACCTGGAGTCCTCCTTAGTACTTCCTTCTTCTTTATCATTTACATGTAATTGCTTACTAAGTCCCAGCAGTTCTATCTATAAAATATACCCAATGTGTTTCCACCTCTACTATTAGCATCTTTTACCTGAACTTCTGTGCCAGCCTCATTATAGCTTTCACTGACTCCATTTATATTCCCCTCCATTCTGTTCTCCACCCTGCCACAAATAGGAATCAGACCTAGTAAGCTAGGTTATTCACTTTCTCAAGGCAAGTTTTAAATCGACATTGGCCAGCATTTGCCATCAAATTTTTCAGTTTCTGGGCAGACTTATCCCCTAATTCTGTTTGACACATTAAAAAAAATTATGAATATAAGCAAAAGACAGATTTTTTTAGGCCCAGGTAGCACTCTCTCTAAATTGATGTACATAGCTCTTCTCTGACCTGTTATGTTCATTTTCATTTATTAATTCACCGTGTATGTAATGTGTGCCTATCATCTTCCAGGATGTAGGGATGCACCATACCTTAATGGAGGTCACAGTTTGAGTAAGAAACAGAGACATTTAATAAATAATTTTTACAGTTTGAAGTATTATGATAGATATGATATATAGGCTCCCAATTGAAGAATATAGTATAGAGATGCGAGTTTTTCTAGGGATGAAGCAAATTTATTATAGGGAATAGACTGAGGAAGAAATTATTTGACATGGAGATGTAAAAGCTAAGTAGCAGTTATTCTGGTGAAGAATAAGACGGGGGAGTTTTGGACGTGGCGGATAACGTGTAAAGGAAGAGAAATGATGGCTTAGTCCAGGAGCTGGAAGTTCTCTGTGACTACAAAATAGGTAGAGTCAGGAGCACCAGTGTCAAGAGAGAAAAGTGAGAGGTAGGTAGAGACTTCTGTGTTAGAAATTTTAAGGATTTTATATTGTATCCTACGCAGTGGTAAGGACCTTGGACTCCAGAGTTAGACCTATGTCTGAACTTCTCTCTCTTCCGTATGAGTGTAGAAAAATTACTTAATCTCTTCTAGTCTATTTTCTACTCTGAAAAATTTGGGATAATGATAGTACCTACCTCAAAGGATTATTTTGAGTATCCTGGACTTGATTCTTATTTGTGGCTTGTATCCTTTGTTTTGGACATTAATGCATCAGACTCCCTTGGCCTCTTGCCATTTAATATTCAAATCACATAACATAATGCTCTTTTTCCTTTCCATCCTTGTTAGACTGGCTTACTTTGTACCATGCCTGAGAAGGAGAGAACATGCTGACTTGAGGGCACAAATGCCCTGTGCTCATGGTAGTTTTGGCAGTTACAGTTATTGCCATAAATTAATAAGTTGGCATTCTGGTTTATGTCAGTCTTGTGAGCTTGGTTAATGGGCACTATTCTTGGGAGATGGATCTATTGGTCATGTGCTGTCCTATTAGATTTATGAGCTATTAAGGCCAAGGGCTAAAGAGAATATGGAACATTCATTAAAATCAAGTTATTCTTGAGGCCTCTTTCAAAATAGGCAGCTTGCCTTCCCTAGAGTGCTCTCTACTTCTGTGCTACTATTGGCTGTGATTTTATTTTGTATATTTACATTTTTATAGTTTTAACTTTTTATTTATAAGATATTTAATTTATCATTATATAAATTCAAAATGACTAATACAGAGTTAGTAAAAGCTGGTAGGACTGAGGTGACATGTAAGCACAGAATAATAACTAGCTGTTAGTTACCAGCTGACAAAAAGATGTCCCATGAAATATTGGATTTTGTTGTGTTTATGTATTCATTTGTCACTATAAAGAGAATTTGGGACTGGCCAGTGTGGCTCAGTGGATTGAGCGTCAGTCCCATGGACTGAGAGGTCCTGGTTCGATTCCTGATCAGGGCACATGCCCAGGTTGCAGGCTTGATCCGCAGTAGGGGGCATGCAGGAGGCAGCTCTCTATGTTTCTACCTCACAATGATGTCTCTATCCTTCTTTAAAAAAAAATCAATAAAAAAACATATTTAAAAAAAAAGAATTTGGCACTTTGCAGTCATTTACAGAAATGACTTTTATTTGATTTCACAAACTATTAAACCATTCATTTTTAGTTATGAATTTGTTTCTTAACCATGAAAAAGAAAGCTTATTTTCTTTTAATGGTTCTAATGGGGGGGGGGGGCAGCCTCTTAGTAGGGTACTTTACATTGTTTTTGTCACAGTGATTGGGGAGATGGGGATTACTGATGTTTAATGAACATATTGGATATAAGAGCAGGCCTGTTAAATATCCTATAGCGGCCTGGAGAGCCCTTGGGAGGGAGGAATTGTCCAGCCCCCAAAGTTTGTAAGTTGACCTGGTAAGAGACACTGCCTGCTGGTTTCTT